AGCAGGAGTAATGTTCTTGAACACCAAAGGCATGATGTTTCAAGGCTTTGCTCTTTGGATTAGAATTTGTACAGCAAACTGGAATATAATCTGTATGCTGCTTTGTATGCCCTCTTTACTGGTTCATGGGTTATGCAACTGGAAAAATGGGAGTTTCTGCCTCGGTGAGTTCCTGCCATAGGGAGCTCTGCTTCAGAATGCAGGTGTGTGGGCATGCCCTCCCCAGCTGGAGGAGCTATGGAGGCCGACTCCCACAGTGGTCTGACTATTCAGAGAACTATTAGAAGCATCTCCCTGGAGCTGTTCTGTGGTGTTGATTATACCATTAAAAAGCCACAAGTTTAAGGAAGCAAAACTCCTTCCTGGCCCCTGCAGCTGCTAAAGTGGGAAGGTCCATGTTTCCGTGTGTACTAATACACTACACCTGTTACTGGTTCAAAGCTCATCTTGGTTAAATCTATACAGTGTTTTGAAGTCTACTTTACCCTAAGAAATTTGCCATGTTTTTTACTTCTTTGATCATTGTTTGGTCACTGGCCCTTCTTTTACCTTCAAATTGGTTAAGACAGTAGTTCTTGACTATGTTTTTACTCAGTCAGCTGATTATGGGCTGGCCTTCTTTCTCTTTGCAACTTTCCTGAAACTGTTCTTGCTAATTCAAGACTTGGCCAAACCAAATGGTTGCGCTCAGTGTTCTTCTCATTTGATGTACTCCGGGGCCACTCTCTAATTCTAGAAACTCGCTTTCCTTCCCTGACTCCCAGCATTCTGCCTCTTGCTTTTCTTCTCCTTCCAACTCTGGCTGTCTTTTTCAGTCACTTCTGTAAATCCTTTCTCTCCCTTTCCCCACCTGAAATGCTGCTGCTCTCTTGGGCCTGGTGATGTCTGGTTAAACACACTGTCCGTGAGGGAGGGCACGTGTTTCCAAGTGTCAACAGCCATGAATGTGCTGATGGCCTCAAATCTTCATGCCCTGAGCCTTGGAGTGGCCCCTGCAAATAGGCATTTGCAGAGGCGCTCACTGGTCTGGGCCACTGGAGCAGCACCGAAATGTTTCCGCCCTTCCAGCTGTTGCTAGCAGAGGTGAGGCAGTCATCCACGTGGGGCATTCCTTTTTCCCTCCACCACACTGTCTCTCAACAACAAATCTAAATTAATAATCTGGAATTTGTTACTTAAAGCAGGATGGCACAGCAACTTAATTTAAACCAGATAACTCAAATATTTACCTTGCTTTAAGCTCATAAAGTGCCAGTTATTAACAGCATATTTGCACTTCTGTAATACAGCTGTGCTATCAACACTATTTTATTGTTTTATAAGTTGGGGAAATATAAGGAAGGTGATTTTTTAATGAACAAAAAAAGACTCATTCTTTCGATTTTTGAAATAGTTTTTGTGCTATCATTAAACATTTTATATCCTTCTATTATAGCATTTTTGAAAACTTAATGTAACTTTTTCTCCAATGGGTGTCTAAGTTCATGTTGCTGTAAGAAAAATACCATATACTGTGTGGCTTAAACAACAAGCATTTTTTTTCTCCTAGTTCTGGAGGCTGGAGGTCCAAAATCAAGATGCCAGCAGATTCAGTGTCTGATTATGACCTTTTTCCTGGTTCATAAGATGGCCACACATGGTGGAAGGGGTGAGAGAGCTCTCTGGGGTCCCTTTTATAAGGGTGATAATCCCATTTGTGAGGGCTCGATCCTCATGACTAATCACCTCCCACAGCCCCCACCTCTAAATGCCATCATGTTGGGGATTAGGTTTCAACATACAAAATTTGGGGAGACACAAACTCTCAGCCTATAGCAATAGGTAAAATGGAGATAGTAATAGTACCTACCTCATAGGGTGGCTGTAAGGATAAAATGAGTTGCAGATAGCAGAGTAGTACCGAGCCCAGATAATGGTGTATATGTATTTGCTGCTGTTATTATTACTGTTATTTGTCACTCCCACTTGCTTTCTCCTACAGACTTCTCAAGAGCACAGAAGGGATGCTTTTTATTATTTTATGTGTGAGACCAAGTTACAGTCCTTGATATGTAATAAAGGCTTAGCCACTGTTTTTAATGAATGTTGAATTGTGCTTAAAAACTGTTTATCCACATTGTCTTAGAAAACACATCTGTTGATAAAGGCAATCAATGCTATAATTGTCAACCTCAAGCTCTGTCTTATCTTACCATTTATTATAATGGTAAAAAACTAAATGTTTCAACGTTTGGGCTGAAAAGTATATTTGTGACCATTACAACAGCAGCATGCCTCACACACTAGCACAAATGGATTCCTTAGGAGTTTTCCAGTCAAAGTATATTTTATTTTTTTCAGTTTTAATATTTTTATTCACTTGGTAAACAACTTTAACTTTTTTCCTTTCAAATTTATATTGAATGCACCAGGAGAGTTAGCTATTCCAAAGAAATCTAGCAAATCATTGGTAGACTGAAGAGTATTGTAGTAAACTGACTATTAAAATCTAAATATATCAGCTTCAGGAATTCAGATTTTTGGGGGCAGTCATTCCTCTAACAAAGAGCATCTGTGGTTTTTCAATAATAGTGCTTGGTAGGTAGTAGGCTTTAGACTGGAAGGGGTAAAATCATTCTCTTGCCTCATCTGTGCCTAGATGTTTATTTGCAAAAATGTGGTTTGGGTTGGAAAGTACCTTAAGCTCCTGTCTGATCTAGATTTCTCTGAAGTGGGAGTACGTGTGTTGTGTGTGTGTGTGTATTAATTAGAAATACCGATTTGTGTCATTTTACATATTCTATTATGGATAAATACTGACCTTTATAATTCACTATGATATTAATTTTGGGAGCTTACCAAAGTAAACTCATATTGGTTAAAAGCTGTAATGTTCTCATTAATATTTTTTCAGATTTGGATGTAAGACCTAAATTTCTTTGTTTACTCCATCAATTTTAACCAAGCTACTGAGTATAGCCTAATATATCTAATATTTATCTTTTGGGTAGGCAGATTTGCAAATATAGTCTCTTGGCTCTGTGAGAGAATATAATTTAGTGAGTACACTGTCTCTCTCCATATGATTGATTATAGAAGGTTACTGTTTAACCAAATGGATGTTTGTAATCCAAATAAACGGACATAGCACAACATATTTATCTAGACCTACCAAGGATACAGACATAGTGAACATAGAAACCTGTTTTCCTCTGTTGTTCATAAACAATTGGTTTTAGCCTTTGATGATTAGAACATACCTTTATTTTTAATTTTTAAATGTTTTAAGCTTAAGAATTATTCAAGAGGGATATTGACCACTAATTTAAGAATGCTTTATTTAAACAAGAAAATGTTTAATTTTAATAAAGAGTTGTACATTAGATTCTTTATTCATATTGTTATAAACAGATATGCTTAAGATTTGTAATCAAATCTTATGATTACATGTGTAATCATAACATTCATAGTATCTCTGAAATTTTATTTAGGGCATTATGGGGACATTATGCTTATTACAATTAGATTAATGTTATTCAGCAGTTATAAAGTGTCATGCAAAGTTTCATTTATAACTCTAACTGGAAAGAAACACCTGCATTTGAAGCATGAAAATTGTAAACTAGGTTTTGACTTTCATGAAAATGATAATGAGTAGTATGTTGTTAAAGTAGAGGTTCCAGATTTCCTTGATGGCATTACTACAATTTATTTAATGAATACTTAATGAGCACCTAGAGTAGCATGCACACTCTGTAATTTGACATAGATTCCTGCCATTGAGGTCTGTGCCGTGTAGTGAAGCAGAGAGCCTTTTACATGGATGACGTTGGCCCAGTACAGAGAACTGCCTTCCTTTCCTGCCTGGGGAGGCATCTGTGCTGTGCTGTGAGAGACTGGAGGTAGAGACTCAGAGACTAGAAGCCATGCTTGGTGGGGAGGTTAGGGCAGGGTAAAGAATACTTATGTGGAGAGGCGATTTATGTATTTTGTGATGCATTGCGCATATGTGTCCCCATTTCCTGCAAAATCTTGGGTGTCCTCAACTTTGCTTTGTGTTCCACCGGTTCAGGCCCCTGGGAAGGGAAGGAGATGGGGAAGCTAATGGAGCAGAGGGAGGCTGCTTGGCCTCTTCCCTGGTTTCCAAGCCTTTTCTGAGGACCCCTTAGAGTGTGTACTAGAGGCTGACAACTGATGCTCCAAGTCAGCCCACAGGGTTGTTTTATTTGGTTTCATAGTATTTAAAAACTTAATGTAAAATAGTCAACATTTCAAATATAGAGATTTCACATGAAAATCCAGTCAGAAGATTGGCCACATTCTGTCAGCTTTTTCTGCAAGGTGACTGACTAGGCAGAGCTGGGGATCATCTGCCTTTCTTTATGCCTCTTGCCTGACTCTTGCAGCTGTTTGGGTTTGCAGCCTCTGCAGTGAACCTTGGCTGGCTCTGTAGTTCGTGGTGTACACGGAGGGTCTGATGAGCCTCTGTCCCTCACCCCTGCCTCCTTCCACTTGCCAGTCTAAGCAGCAGCATTGACAACAGGTATCAACCCATAAAAACAGAAGGAATAAAAAGGGAGTAGTACGAATGTTCATCATGACCATGATATTTATATATTTTTTTCATTGTTGAAAGTATGTTTACCATGTTCATGGAATTTATGTGTATTTTCTGTCTTTTATTTCCCTTTATTACTAGGACAAGCAATGGTTGTTTTCATTTCATTACAGAGTAGCCAGGAGACAAAATTATTTTAAGCAAAGTACCTCCACGTTAATAAAGTTTTTAAAATCTTTCACATAGTCTAGATAAAAATTTTTCTGAAGTGGATTGAATTCACGAACATTATTTTGAAAATCAGGTGCATGTTTTTAACTTTAAGCTAAATTACTTTGCCTTCATGTATGTCCAACTAGTCTAGTACTAATAGAGTGAAGAGCAGTTTTATTTATAAGGTTTTCCTAAATTGTATAAGAATTATAAAATATTTTTCTTCTCTTTCCTCACAAAATTCTGCCAGCGAGTTGAAAATGGTGACTTCAACTGGATTGTTCCAGGAAAGTTTTTAGCATTTAGTGGACCACATCCAAAAAGCAAAATTGAAAATGGTAGGTTTTTCTTTACTTTACCATCCAAAAATTTATTTCAGCTCATCTTTCATTTCTTAATTTCCTCAGATAAAACTTTATTTTGGTAATATTACACAAAGGACATTTATTAATTAAAAAAATTGAACACTAGTTATTAGTGTGTTAAATATTATGGTTCAATAGGTAGAACTGTAATTACTGTTTTAAAACTAGTAAATTTTTAGTTTGCCATAAATAGGATGCTCACTTTACCAGATCCAATTGTCAAAGAAGAATCTGAGAAACGAATGACCAAACCGATAAGCAGATTGCTAAATTCACTGTCAGTGGTTCTCAGATGTATTTGGTGATAAAGTACTATACAATACAAAGTATTCTTTGGGGAACACCATGTTGAATAATGATGATGATAACAATAGATGTCATTTATTGAGTATTTACCATGTGCTGGCTACTAGCTACTCATAGCATTAGCTCATTGAATGCACACACAACACTTTGAGGTGTAGGTAGTATTATCTCCATTTTACAGTGGAGGAAATTGAGGCTTATGAATAGGAAATTTGCCCAAGGGCACAAAGTAACAGGCAGAACTGCAGCTCCACCCCAGAGCTGGGCTCCTAAACATTGCCACTAACTGATCTATTTGTTTCTATCATGACAACCAGGAACAATTTCTTAGCTGACAGTAATTAAACTATTTATTTGTAATGTATGTATAGCTAGTGGCATACATACTCAGGAAAAAAAATTAAAAGCAAAACAAAAAATAAGCCTCTTGAATGAAACATGATCAGCTATTTGAATTTTTCTGCTGTTTGTTTTTACTTACTTATTTTCATCTGCTAACACTCCCTTGAACATAAGTAATGCTAGGTACCAAAGGTCTCTGAATAACTTAGGGGAGGAGTACATAAAATTAAAAAATTATAATAGTTTGTTTTTTGCTGTCCATCTGGTCTTAGACCTGGCACATCAATTCTCTAAGGGAACGTAAATGGAAACCTGAATCTGGATTTCTGCCTCTTTCCTCATCATCATTATCATCATTAACATCATGAGTATTTATCTGAAAATCTGGTTTCGTAGTGTACTTTTACTCATGCATTTAGCTTTGATGATTTGAGTTTCCACAAATGTGCATATTCATTTCGTACCTGTGACATGTCTATGAGGGAACCTGCTTGAATCACCGTTTTCCTCCGTGGATGGGTAACCCAGGTGCAGAGCCTGAAGCCAACAAGGTCTCTGTACTGAAGCCAGAGTTATGGCTTCTCAGTCATGAGTTAGCAATCATCATATTGCCCATCTCTTTTGCTCCAGATATTAATTAACCTCAGTCATGCTGGGTTGTTAGGAAACAACATGTTGAGGGCCTGAGGAAACTGCTTTCTGACAGTGGTCTTTTAAGACAGGATTGACGAAATTCACGTTTGGCCTTCTGTGTAAAATGATCTGACTCAGACCCGGAAAATCTTAGCAGGGGGGATGGTTTCAGAAGCGGCCTTGCTGGTCAGGGTTCACTTGGCAAGGTTGAAAGAATTTTGCCGTTTAGGAGTCACATGTTTCATGAACTTTTCTTAAAGAGATGAGAGGTATAAATTTAAAAAGTCATTTTAAATATTTTTATAGAGGTAACATGATTTTTTTGAAATAGAAAAATGTAGGTGAACTAATAAAAAAAGCATAAGAAGACCTATAGTTCTAAGTTTTCTTGATTTACTAGCTAGTGGGGACTATTGGGTTTTTTGATTTTCTTTGCATTTGTTCCTCTGTTTTTTTACTTGCGTACATTTTTTTTTCTCTTTCAGTGAATACACACGCAAATATACACACATACACATATATAAAAGTATTCCATTTTTTTTACAAGCATGGAATCATAACATAATTACTGTCTTATAGCAGCTTTTTCATTTAATGTATCACAGACTCCTTTCCATGACAGTAAATACAGATCTTCATTATAATTTTCCATGACTGTATTGTATATTATTTAATGATTATACCATAATTTTGTTAATTAACTAACTGGTTTTTGAATGAGACCTAAGTTGTTTGCAGGTTTTCATTTTTTAAAAACTTATGGATGGTGTACATTTTGTAACATCTTTTTGTACAGCTCCAGTTTCTTTAAATTCTTAAAAGAAGAATGACTAGGTAGAAGGCTATGAATATTTTGTGTGATATTTCTTTTTTTTTACACTGAAGAATAATTGACATACAAATATCATACTAGTTTTAGGTGTACAACATAGTGATTCAGTGTTTATATACCTTAGGAAATGGTCAACAATAGTAAGTCTATTGCCATCTGTCATCATACAAAGTTGTTTCAATGTTATTGACCATATTTCCCTATACTATGTATTATAGCCTCATCTTATTTTTTAACTGGAAGATTGTACCTTCTTAATTGTGAAAAATCTTAATTCTGTTTGGTCCCATTATGAAGTACAGGGAAATAATTATAGCCAGTGCTTGCTTTTATGCCAGGAAAGGTACCTAGCCCTCTAGAATAGATGGCAGTTATTTTATGGAAGAGAAGATGGAGGCTCAGAGGAGTTACCTACTTGCCCAGATTACCTAACAGCCAGAAAGTGTGAGCATATGGATTCAAGCACTGTTCTCTGATTCCAAATTCTGTGTTCTTTTTTATTTACAGAGGAAGTACATGTTCATTATAGAATATTTAAGCAATAGAGATAAAAAGTCGCCTGTAATTATATAATCTAGAAATAACCACTGTTAAGATACTGCTCTAGATACATCTTTTTTCTACGCATATATTGTGCCATTTACATTGAGAAAGACAGGTTTCAAAGTGCCTAATATTTGTCAATTTTTATGATATCTAGAACAATGTCAGTGAAGGCTGTCATTGGTAAAATACCGATATTTTACTGGAATCCCCATTTTAAGATCCTGATTCCCTAGAAGCTTGGTGATTTTTTTTTTTTTTTACAAATCCTTTTTGAACTTGAAAAAATAATTTTGTGATGTATTAATAAACTTCATCCAGTTATAGTAAAATCTTGGTACATTCTTTTAATTTTTTTTAAATTGAGAAACCCTGTGTTTCCTGAGGAAGCTGAAAGTAATGTTAGGTGTTTATTGGTAGAAATGGTAGATTTTTTTATGAGTTAAAACTCAAATAGCTGTTGCTCTGATATAGCAAAAGGAGGCCTTAAAATCTTGGGATCTGGGCAGAATGCATTATAAGAGTCTCAAGTGTGTGTTGTGTCAGCAGAGTAACTAGGCATTTCAAGCGCACATTGTTTTGACATTGGGGCAGTGAACAGCCCTGTCTTTTATTTATGCATTTATTTTTGTCAAACAAGTTGAATTGATAAATGAGTTCTATTGCAGAATGGAAAATATTTTGGATTTTAGATTTTCAATGAAAAACCCCAAACTCTCAGGTGGCAATGGCCTTCTCATTTCTATTAAAAAAAAAAACAACTGCCACACACACAGAGAGAGAGAGAAGACAGCTTGAAACAGGGAATCTCAACCGTTTTAGCGTCAGACTGCTCATTTAACAAGAGCAGTGAGGTGTAAAGATTCTGGGCAGTTTGAAGCCTGACCCCACCCCTAACTGGTTGTGTGAACGTCTGTGAGCATCTCAACTTCTCTGAGCATCAGTTTACTCATATATCAAATGGAGAAATAGGATGCACATGCGGGCATCTGGTGAGGATCAGAGATATTATATGAAGTGCTTTGCACAGCGTCAGGCACATAATAGGTGTTTATTAGATAGCAGATATTTTGATTACAGTTTTATCATTATTGAGCCCAATAAATATTTTATTGCTTCCTTTATTTGTCTGCCGCATTTTGTAGTTTTTCTTTTAATGATGAGTGAGTGGACTACTCGTTTGGTGCTGATGTCCTTGAGTTTCCTAACTTTAAATGCACTTCCTAAATTAATCTCTAGGAAGAGGTAAATTGAAAATCTCTCTTAGCTCTGAAATTGTTTCAGTGTTTGGTCGGCTTCTGAGCTCTGCCCGTCCTTTACTGATGCCAGGGCGTCATCTAGTGGCCAGAGGGAGTAAGTGTCGGGTGACTGCTCCGTCGGCTCCGTGTGCCTTGCTAAAACCAGCCACCCTCCAAAGCAACCAGTGTTGACACTACCCACCGTTATTCACAGGCCATAGGATATTGTCATTATTGGTTATAACTCTTTTGACACAGTTTTGAGGATTTAAAGACATCTGTTTACCAACTCTAGGAAGTACAACCCCTAATGTTTGTATAATTCTCCTTTCTTTGGAGACCTAACAAATAGAGTCAAATTGGATCTTACAGGAAATCAGCCCCAGTGCATGCCCAGGAATCAGACTGCCCAGGTTCAAGTGCCTCCTCTATCTCTTACTAGCCTGTGTGCCTGGGCCATTTTACTTTTACAAGCATCAGAAATTGGGCAATTGCAAAGGTTAGTAAGGCAATCCTCACGAAGCACTTAGTGCCTGGCACACAGGAAGCACTCCGTAAGGGTTAGGTATGATTATCATCATGATTGTTATTATTTCAATGTTCTATGATATACATAGTTTCTCTTAATAGTTGGCTCAGGTGTATTATCCAAGTGCTGCCTACTCCTGAAGGAACTTCATATTTGAAGAGAAAAATTCTTGTAGTCTTGGTGGAGATGAGAAGGGGATAGACATCAAAGCAACCATCAACACACTGGGTGACAAGTGCCATCACGGAGGTGCCAGTTACGCTAGGGACCCTGCGTCACAAGTGCTCATCAGCCTGCCAGCACCAAGGGAAAGCTCGCATGTGTGTGAGCTCCTCCTTCCCATTCTTTATGTGATAGAACGGCTTTCGTTTCCTTATGCCAACCACTGTCCTTTTTTCCTTTAGGCTGTAAATCTGCTGCTGGGAAATAGTTAGAGCAAACAAACCAACTAGAAAGACAGATTTGATTTTTACAAATTGAAAAGCATCTGTTTTCTCTAAATGTGTGTGTATGAATTACTGTTTCTATGCAGAAGACTGAAAATAAGCTCCTTGTTACCTGTTCACTCGAAAGCAGCAGGACCTGTGAAAATCATGTATCTGGACCATGGACTAGTTTGCTCTGCCTCCAACTATTGTGTTACCTCGGCCCAATGCGCCAGTTAAGGTTTTTGTTGGCAGGCAGCAGAACTAACACTGGTAAATTAAACCAGAAAGCCATTTACTGGAATTATGTTGGAGAGCATTCATAGCCTCAAGGGAAGGCTGGAGAATGAGGCTTAGAAAATGAATAGGATCTGAGGGAGAGAATGTAGCAGCACGGTCCGGGAGGGAAATGGAAACCACACCATTTCCAACAGTGGGAATTTAATATAAGGGATTTGTTACAGAGAAAGCTAAAAGGTAAAAGGGCAACACTGAAGAAACGAGAATGTTATGGAGGAAATAGCTACTACTTTTAAGGCAGGGGAGACACAAGGGCAAAAAAAGTGGGGATACTAGAACCTGGGGGCTCAGAGGAGGAGCCAGGCTGGCACCGGGGAGTCTGAAGGGAATACTTCACAGCTAGTGTTTGCATCTGGGGGCTGAGGAGTGGAGAACATAAGGCTGGGTTACAGGCTGCTGGGCACTCTGGCTGCCCCTATCTTCTGATGCTGAGACCATGCTGGCCCCCAAACAGAAGTCCCTTCTCCCTCCTCTGGCCTGTAGTTGTGCTTAAGTACCTCTCGTATCTTGAACTGACAGGAAGCCAGCTGCAAGTGTAATATGCAGACCCCACCCCCAGCATGAGAAGGTTGGCTTGCAGCTAAGAGAAAATAGGAAATGACCAACATATACAGGGGCATCAGGAAATGCAGCCAAGGACACAGAGCAGAAACTGGCACTTCACCTTGCTGGCTGCTGCTCCCCCAGTGCTTGGAGCCCACCATCCTGAAGGAGTTCTGAATGAGATGGTCTCACCTGCTATGCCTGGGAGTCAATGAGCCCTGAACAGGTTACAGAGGTGTGGTAATCAGTGTGCTGAGAAATTAGACCCCGTAACCCCTGGGGCTGCTGGGCAAGGTCTGTAGTGGCCAAAGCCCCTGGTGGTCACCTTGGTTGATTGGCCAAGTCTAGTTCCTGTGTCTGTAACCCAGCAGACTCTGTGACTTCCAGCGATGCTCACATGATGCTCGATCCACTCAAAATAGAAGGCGGTTTAAAGGCTGATCATCTTGGTCCACCCCCAAAAGAAACTGTCTACAAAAAACGATTCGACCTCTTTTTGTTTCTTAATCTGTTAAGTGGGGTTAACTATTCTTATCCTAATAGGCTGTTTTGAGAATTAAAAAGAAATCATAGGCAACTGACAGGTACATGGTGGGTGCTCATGATTGTTCATCTTCTGTGGGGGATTGCACTGGAGATAAAAAGGATACATCTGGCAAAAATACTTTGTGGTTGACAACTGTTTGTCAAGTGGAATAAAAGGCACTAAGAATCATTCCACGCTGACTGTGGATATTGGAGGGCCTCAGAAATTTCTTTGTTTTGGCTTGGGAAGCGTTGTACTCCCAGGATTTGAATCTCAGAGGTTGAGGTTTTGAATTTTCTTGAGCTATTTCTAATACTTAGAGGTTTTTTTTCCTTCACTCATCTGGATTTTTTTTAAAACAGTTTTTTTACATTTTTAAATTTTTAAAATTTAAAAAATTTTAAACAGTTAAAAAAAAATTTTTTTTTTCAGATTGCTGCTTTTGGACATGTGCTGCAGGCTTGTAGGGTCTCATGAAATTCATTTTCGTCATAAGCTCTGTTGAGATAAATTTCATTGTGAAGGGCTTTCGTGTTTCTGGGTCAGGTAAGATGAAATGTATGCCTTTTGCTCATAGCTCCTTTTCTCCTTTAGGTTATCCTCTTCATGCCCCCGAAGCCTACTTTCCTTACTTCAAAAAGCATAATGTAACTGCAATCGTGAGGCTGAACAAGAAGATTTACGAGGCGAAGCGCTTCACAGACGCGGGCTTCGAGCACTATGACCTGTTCTTCATCGACGGCAGCACTCCCAGTGACAACATCGTGAGAAGGTTCCTGAGTATCTGTGAGAACACGGACGGGGCCATAGCCGTTCACTGCAAAGGTGCGCGGGAGGCCTTGGCGATCACCCTGTAACCCACAGGAGGAACCCAGAGGAGCAAATCATGCAAAACGAAGCTGGTTACTGTCTTAGGAAAAAAATGAGTTTATGTCTTGGTTTCAGAACACTTGAACATAAACCCATTTAAATAGCCTGAAAGAAATGGTTGCTTGGATGTGGATAATCAGTGGTGGTGGGACTTTCTAGGTAAAGCAGTTTTTCTGGCCTTTTCAAGTTCATGCTGGGTGACACCAGGGGCCACGTGGTGGGGAAATCCCAGATCACAGCAGCAGTGTCTGCAGGCTGGTTAATTAGGTACAGTTGTCAAAGGGGCATCGGTGTTGGCTCCCCTTTCACATTGAGTGCCAGAGTCGCCCATCTCCTTTCCATCTTCCTGCAACCATCTGGTGTTTAATGCTCCCATTTTATGACCCAGCTTTCCGGACTTCCATTTCACCCTCTGCTCCTCCCTTCCCCTGCTAGTCTTTTGCATCATGATATAGAGTGTCTTCCCTGCCCATTGCTAAAGGATGGCGGCATTCAGGAGTCATCTGCTAGCTTACTTGGCCACAGATGTGTCGTTGCCTCTTTGACCTGAAAGACTGTAAATGAATCTGTGGTCTCAAGGGAAGAGTACTTGGGGGCAGGGGTTGTTCGGTTTATAAGAGGCATAAGGTTGCCAGATTCAGAAAATAAAAATGCAGGATGCCCAGTTAAATTAGAAGTTCAGATAATGAATACTTTTTAATATGTGCATTCTGTATTTTCTCTGGCAACCTTGTGTCAGCTACTCAGAAAATATGAAGTAACATTTGCTCTAAGCCTAGTTGTTAGACTGTGAGGAAGCTCAAGTTCCAGTTTAGATTTTCCAGCACGGTTGAAGGTATTTTACTGGAGTCTTTGATTTCAGTGACAAGCAGAGAAATCTGTGGCCCCTGAGAGATGGAGCCTTTAGTTCCTCACATGCAGCTTTCTATAGTGCCACCGGGAGGTGCTGTTCTCATAGTTTTGAGTCTGAGAACCACTTTTTTTGTGGAGTTTTATGCTTAATTGTCTAGTAGGTGTTGGGGATTGTACTGTTCTTTTCATGTGCCTAGTGCTGCTGTAACTGACTTATTCAGACAAGCATGGCTTTGGTTCTGACAGAAATTAAAATACCATTTTGTAGGCCCTTGTTTCTATGTTTAAGATTTGAGTAGGTGGAGGTACTTGCTGAGCGACAGGAGGCTGCATTTTCCCTGAGACCCAGAGAGATGGAAATGAGCTGCACACAGCCCTGATTTAGTTGAGGACTCCTTATGGCCAGCTTCGTCCACACTGACATAGCCTCTACCCTCCCCTTCCCCTTTTTTAATCAGGACTGCACCCTGACTTGGTGGATCTGTTAAAAAGGCAGGTGTCTTTGTTCACTAATCACCGTTGACTGTTGCTTTCAGTTCTAATCAGGTCACAGTGGGGATACTGTGGGCTAGCTTGCCCCTCATGTGGTACATTTGTACCCCATTTCTGTTTTATGTTGTTAGAGATTGCCCAGGCCCAAGAAAAACCCTGCATTTCACATATTTCAAATATCAGTGGAACTTGAGAGATAATGGGAATATGGCAGCTGTCAATGTTTAGTAGGAGATATTAATATGCTTACTTTCAAAGTTTATTTTTGTGTCATAAAAAACAGTGTTTTTCCTGGGAATAAATTGACCTTATTTCCTAGTCAGTCAGTTTTATGATTACCAAGTCATAAAGCTTATCTATGTCTCATGTTTTGAATTGAAAATGCATGGGGAAAAAAACTGCAAAACTTTCATTAAAACTCAGCATTTCTTTTTAACATTTGTAAATTGAAGTATAGTTGGCATATAATATTATATTAGTTTCAGGTGTATAGCATAGTGATTTGACATTAATATACATTATGCAGTGCTCACCACAGTAAGTGTAGTTACCATCTGTCACCACACAAAATTACTACATTATTGGTTATATTGGCTTATGCTGTACTTTTCATCCCCATGACTTATTTATTTTATAATTGGAAGTTTCTACCTCTTAATCCCCTTCAACTATTTGCCCATACTCCCACACCCTCCCTTCTGGCAGCCACCAGGTTGTTCTCTGTTTTTATGAGTTTGTTTCTGTTTTTTGTTCATTTGTTCTGTTTTTCTAAATTCCACATAAGTGAAATTGCATTGTATTTGTCTTTCTCTGTCCTATTTCACTTAGCATAATCCTCTCTGGATCTGTCTATGCTGTCACAAATGTCACAATTTCATTTTTTTTATAGCTGAATAATATTCCATTGTATTTACATATCACATCTTTATTCATTCATCTGTTGATGGACAGTTAGGTTGCTTTCATATCTTGGCTATTTTAATTAATACTGCAATAAACATGGGATACATATATCTTTTCAAATTAGTGTTTTTGTTTTCTTTGGGTAAATTCTCAGAGGTGGAATTATTAGATCACATAGCATTTCTGTTTTTAACGTTTTGAGGAATCTCCATGCCATTTTCCATAGTGGCTGCACCTATTTATATTTCCACCAATAGTGCATGAGGATTCCCTTTCTCTACATCCTTGCTAACTCCTGTTATTTCTTGTCTTTTTAATACTAGCCATTCTGACTGGTATAAGGTGATATCTCATTGTGATTTTGATTTTGATTTCCCTGATGATTAGTGATGTGAGCATCTTTTCATGTACCTGTTGGCCATCCTTATTTATTCTTTGAAAAAATGTCTGTTCATGTCCCCCACCTACTTTTTTAACTGGATTAGTTGGGGTTTTTTTTGGTATTGAGTTGTATGAGTTCTTTATATATTTTTGATATTAACCCTTTAGCAGGAATATCATTTATGAATATGCACTCCCATTCAGTAGGTTGCCTTTTTGTTTTGTTGACAGTTTCCTTTGCTGTGAAAAAGTTTTTTAATTTAATGTTGTCCCAGGTGTTTATTTTTGCCTTTGTTTCCCTTTTGGGAAGACAGATACAGAAAAATATTGCTAATGATGATGTCTATGCTTTCTTTTAGGAGTTTTCTGGTTTCAGGTCTTACATTTAAGTCTTTGATTCATTGTGAATTTATTTTTGTGTATGGTATAAGGAAGTGGTCCAGTTTCATTATTTTGCATGTAGTTGTCCAGTTTTCCCAACACCATTTATTGAAGAGACTATCTTTTCCCCATTGTATATTTTTGCTTCCTCTTTTGTAGCTTGATTGACCATATACATCTATTTCTTGCCTGTTTGTTCTGTTCCACTGATTTACCTATTTTTATACCACATTTATTTTGATTAGTATAGCTTTGTAGTATAGTTTGAAATCAGAGAGTGTGATACCTGCAGCTTTGTTGTTCTTTCTCAAAATTGCTTTGGCTATTTGAGATCTTTTCTTGTTCCAATCAAATTTTAGGATTATTTGTCCTAGTTCTGTGAAAAATGCTATTGGTATTTTGATAGGGATTGCATGTATCTGTAGATTGCTTAGGGTGGTTAGAACATATTAACAATGTTAGTTGTTCCATTTCATGAACATGGTCTATCTTTCCATTTATTTGGGTTATCTTCATCAATGTCTTATGTTTTCTTTGATCAATGTCTTGTTTTTGAGAGTATAGATCTTTTCCCTCCTTGGTTAAATTTATTCCTGATGTATTATTCTTTTTGATGCAATTGCAACTGGGATTGTTTTCTTAATTTCTATATCTGCTAATTTGTTATTAATGTATAGAAGTGCCACAGAGTCCTATATATTAATTTTGTATCCTGCAACTTTGTGGAATTCACTTATTGTTCTAATAATTTTTTTGGTAAAGTCTTTAAGATGTTCTGTATATAATAAATCATGTCATCTGCAAATAGTGAGGGTTATTCTTCTTTCTTACCAATTTGCATGTCTTTTATTTATTTTTCTTGTATGATTGCTGTGGTTAGGACTTCCAGTACTAATGTTGAATGAAAATGGTGAGAGTGGGTATCCTTGTCTTGTTCCTGTACTTAGAAGAAAAACTTTCAGCTTTTTACCACTGAGTATGATGTTAGCTGTGGGCTTGTCATTTGTGCACTTTATTATGTTGAGGTTGTTCTCTCTCTACCAACTTTGTTGAGAGTTTTTATCATAAATGGATGTTGAATTTTGTCAAATGCCTTTTCTGCATCAATTGAGATAATCATAGGACTTTTACTCTTCCTTTTGTTAATGTGGTATAACATGATGATTGATTGGCAGATATTGAACCATTCTTGCATCCCTAGAATAAATCCCATTTGATCATGGTGAATGATCTTTTTAATGTATTGTTAAAATCAGTTTGTTAATATTTTGTGGGGATTTTTACATCCATATTCATCAGGGATATTGGCTTGTAATTTTCTTTTCTTTTTCTGTAGTGTCTTTGTTTTGGTTTCAGGGTAATGCTGGCCTCATAGAATGAATTTGGAATTTTTCCTTCCTCTTCAGTTTTTTAGAATAGTTTGAGAACAGTTGTTTGCTCTTTAAATATTTGGTAGAATTCACCTGTGAAGCCATCTGGTCCAGGACTTTTGTTTGTTGGGAGTTTTTGATTACTGATTGAATTTCATTACTAGCAATCAGTTTGTGCAGATTGTCTATTTCTTCCTTATTCAGTCTTGGAAGATAGTGCTTTTCTCAGAATTTATCCATTTCTTCTAGGTTGTCCAGTTTGTTGGCATATAATTTTTCATGGTAGTCTCTTACAACCCTTTGTATTTCTGTGGTGTCAGTTATAAGTTCCTTTCATTTCTGATTTTATTTACCTGAGGCTTCTCCCTTTTTTCCTTGATGAATCTGGCTAAAGGTTTATTAATTTTGTTTATCTTCTCAAAGAACCTTAGTTTCATTAGCTCTTAGTTTCATCAATCTTTTCTAATTTTTTAAAGTCCCTATTTCATTTATTTCTGCTCTGATCTGTACTATTTCCTTCCTTCTACTAACTTGGGCTTTGGTTGTTCCTTCTTTTCTAGTTTGGTATAAGGTCAG